ATAGGAGCAGGAATGCTTCTAGAGGAGAAAGAAATGTCATGTATGAAAAATAGGATTTCTTTGTCTTTTAATTGCTCGTAAAAAGATGTAACTTTTTGGGTCTGACTCCTTCATTCAACAGTTATGTGTAGAGCACCTACTGTATATGAGGCAGTGTTCTAGGTGGTGGAATTATGGCAGTGATGAAGGAGATGAGGTCCCTGCCCTCAAGGAGTTTTCGTTCTGTGGGTGAGGCAGGTAATAAGGAGCTAAGTGGTAGTGAAAGTAAGTAGGCTACAACAGAAATGAGAGCAGATCAAAGCATACAGCGAGGAGTGGCTGGGGGTCTCTTTTAGAGGGACGGCCTCTCTGAAGGGTGAGCATACGAGCAGAGATCTTAGGGAGTAAGTTCGAGTTTATGTATCTCTGTATTTTATGTAATTTATTTTTAAGTTTGGGTTAATTTAAATGTAAGAGGATAATGGGGCTTAGAGTTGGGGACAGTTATGACATGATCCAATATACGTTTTTAAGAGATCAGCATTTGTTGTGTGGAAAATGCTTTATGGGAGAAGAGGGGAGAGGAGGGTAAATAGAAACCGGGAGACCGGTATTGCCCTGGCTGACAAGAGAGAGGACTGTATTAGCCCGTGTGCTTCTTAGAAGAGCCACAGAGGCGGGACTAAAGGTGCCAGGATTCCATTAGGGGAAAGGAGTGGAGGAGAAAGAGAGGAGGGTGAGGCTGTGTGTGGGGAGGGGGGGTCCTGACCACCACTCCCCGGTAGCCATCATGTTGCTAATTGCAACAGGGTGGTAAGCGAGAGCAGGGAGAAGTTGTCAAGTAGAGGGCATATTCTGAAGGGAGAGCTGGCTGAATTTATGATGAAATGATAGGAGGAAAGAGAAGAGTCAAAACTTGTGGACTTTCAACTTGTCCATCTGAGTGATGTTGTTAATGAGAGAGGAGCAGTGAAGGAGGAAGTGCTAATTTGGGGATTTCTGTTCACCTTCTTAGGAGATTCTCAAGCTTAGGTCCTCCCCTCCCTTCCCACAACAAAGATTTAGGGAGGTTCTTTAACTTCTAGGTTAGAACTAAGAGAACTAATGGCATAATAGGAAACAAATGTACTAAAACAGAAGCATTAGTTGCCCACACATTCTCAAGGCTCTGGCGTGTGTAATTTGGAGCTTACTAATGGTAAAAGAACCATTTTATTTACCTTGATGAATGATCTGGGAGCATTCTTTTTGCTTTAGGGTGTTCTGGTCCCATGAAATTTAAAAGTAATCAGAATTCCTAAATTGTTTAAAAGTTAAAGGTGTTTTAGGCAATTTAGAGGAAAAGTACTTGAGGTATGACTTAGAAGATTCTGGACTTTAGTCCACACAAAATTGTAGGGGCTCGGATTTAGGGAAATCCCCCAAAATAGGGCTTTATTATATGGCATTAAATATTTAATCATTTTAGGGGCACATCGTTAGATAATTAGTAGCAAGATACCCAGACAACATCACAGCTTCTTATTCACACGTATTTTATAAAGGGTACTATTCACAGGTGCCTGGGTGGCTCCGTCGGTTGGGCGTCTGGCTCTTGATTTTGCCCAGGTCATGATCTCATGGTTTGTGAGGTGGAGCCCCGTGTTGAGCTCAGTGCTAACAGTGTAGAGCCTGCTTGGCATTCTCCCCCTCTCTCCCCCTCTCTCCCCCTCTCTCCCCCTCTCTCCCCCTCTCTCCCC